CCATGGCTAGCCGGCCTGAATCTCGTGTCTGCCTGGGGCTCCTTTTCAATTTAAATGGGTTTGTTTGTTGCTATCAAAATTATATATATTCAGACATTGAGCGTTAGTCTATGTATTTTCCAATATGATGAAAATACTAATACATGTATTTACCAAATAAAATTCTAAAGGAGCCTTTCTTCAAGCAGTGACTTAACGCCATACATAGCTAGACTTGCTTAGATGATAGACTTCATATAAGGCATCATAGGTATTTCACAAACATGGTACAGGACCCTTAGCCTCATTGGCTTATTGCCTCACCACTTGCGAATTAAGCGTTGGCAGATGTAAATGTTACTGGAGATGTTGGTCCCGCTAGCTGTGGGTGTTTGGTATGGCACTCCATAACCCAACCCTGCAGTGAGTTTTCCTAGAGACGGAAGGGGAAAACTATCGTTCTGTGACTATGGAAAACCAAAAATTTGGACAACAAACCATTGTTTGGGTCTTTTAATTGTAAATATGATTCAAATAGCTTAACCTAGATTTCGATATCCTCCGATAGGTAAATTTGGTGGAAAATATACATTTATACCGAGACAAGGACGAATGTATATGTATAATAAAATGTAACAGCACTAGTATCCATTTTGTCTTTTGTCTTCTACCCGTCAGAACTAGATTAACAACTAGTCCCTGATATAAACGTATTTTACAGAAAAAAAGTTCATAGTGAAAGGAAATATAATATAATGAAAAGGAGCCCTGAGACTTTCTCCCGAAGCTGTGGAAATCTAGACTTGCCACATTTTGTAGACTTGCGTGGGCTTGGATATATTTGCTTCAGGGTCTGTATGACAGACGACGTCCCAACATACGCTCAGTCACATGTGTCTCCAGGTCACGGAGAATCAGTGGTAAGAGGCCGGTATTGCAATTCTCGTGCGTTTGCCAGGCGCGTAGCAAGCCATTTTTTTCGTGTAAGCCCTATGGGCTGCAAAGCCTTATATTTAGGTGGTATTGGGGGCATATGTAGGTGGTATTGGGGGCTTGCCCAAATTTCATTTTTTATGAGACCTGAAGAGTTATCGTTTGACGTTTGATGATTTCAATAGCTTCAAAATATTGTGGAAAGACTTCCGCCTGTATCCCCCCTTAAATTTCATTCTAGTCAAATCATATCACCTGAATATATACTGTATATATTCCTCATCTGATAAGGATGAGTTTTAACGCGATTTGTTTATTGTATCTGAACATACTGAAAGACATATTCTGAAAGACATATTCTGATTCGGACGGAAGTCTTACCACCATGGAAATTGAAATGTGATTTCCTCTTATACAAATATGTTTGGACATAGTTTACACATGTCTGCTGCATCGATACAATACCATACATCGAGTATTTGGTGTTTTTTCTAAAATAATTGATAAACAAATGAAAAATAAACAACTGCATTTCAGTGATGATTCACATATAATCATAACTGTAACAAAACATCCTCATACATGTCGATGGAAAAACAATCATCACTGAAAGTTATGATATGAAGAATAACCTGTTTACTGTACATGGTAATGCTTTAGTCAAAGAATATTGTAGTCAGTATGATTCATAGAGGGATTTCCACTTTTTAAATGGAACGTGTTTGTAGGTATTTCTGGCAAGAATTAGAAGAAAAATTATTGTTTAGCAAAGATCATGTGTAAGCTCGAGCTGTTTTTTATAATGGTAGCTACGCCCCTGTTTGCATGTGTTGTTGACGCGGCATGGACGCCTTGTAACATCACTATTTGATTATGATTCACAAACACATGCCCATGATATGGTCGGAATCGTGCCAAGGATTAACAGATATTTATCACGAAAACAGGTTTTTATGTAGGTAGCTTGATCCTCGCTTTTACAAAGGCCTATAGGTTCGATCACAATACATTTCGTTTTACAGCTTCTCTTTTCTTAACATGCTCACGTCAAAACGTATTTAAATTCTAATCGCAGATTAAAGAATAACACAATAAATAGTATGCCAAATTATCGTTACCATAACAACCCTGTGATATTTCACCTTATGTAAGAGAGTAATGCAGATGATACTGTCGGCCGTACAAGTTGATAAATTACTTCATCGCTATCAATACACTGGGTATCTTTATAGAGAATACTACACGAGGTCTCATTACATACGAACTATACGAAACGAGTGTCCTTCCTATGGTATCTGACCGAGCGAAAGCAAGGTCAGATAACATAAGAAGGTCTTACATGCATTAAATTGACAAAATGGTGTATTTTTGTTAATATTTTGGTTTCAACCCGAAACCGGTTTCATAAAGAGGTTGCGGAAGAGTTTTGTACTGTAGTACAATATTTGCATGACATCACACTGTAATGACGTCACTGCCTTGGTAACCGACGTCACGATTCATGTCAGTTGTCATCGCCTCGTACAGCCTCCTACAGTAAACTACTCCGTAGCACCCCGTTTCTTGGTTTGCAGTTGCTACATTCGGCTAACATCACTGGTGGAAACATTGCGTTTACGTTTTTCGACGGATATAATGTCTCAGTTCGACTCACAATTAAACAGCGACACGGCAACGTTCGCGATGTTTACATTCCCACAATGCATTTAAGTTGTAGAATGAATGAATTCACGTGTTTGTTATGAATGAAAAAATAGTTACGTCAGAATGTGACCTAATTGAGAGGTCATCGGTTATCCAATCAAATCGTTAGAATTTCTCAGGTCAACGCGATACGACACTCGTGTGACGTACGAGATTAGTATGCAACTACCCATACGTTGACCACGTGGGTAATAAACAATTATATGTGTGATCAAAGGCCATATGATAGATTATGTGGTCTCTGGTGTGATGGAGGAGAACTTGCGTCGCTAGTTTTCTCGATATTCTGAACACAAGTATGTAGCGTGAAACCGGCAGACACTTTAGAAGAAAGTGTTTGCCCTACCTGTAACAACGATGTCCCGTGTCTATAAAAGGGATATAATGTGGGGATGAATGACATGTACTTTTATCTTGGCCCGTTTATGATGATATATACTGCGATCTTTCACAATAATCCCTCTGGCTATCAGATTGAAGGGACGTTTTAAACATAACCGGTATTTCTATCATTGTATTTATAAAGTTCTTCGAACGTTCTCTAAATACGTCCGTCAGATACATTGTGCACTACCCTTTTCTCTTTTGATCTTCTCAAACGACTGTTACAAGTTCGAAGAGTCCTGGTCAAAGTAGAAAAGTCTTAAGACTATTCCCTACAATTCCGTAACTTACACATTGTACCCTAAATGGGTAGAGCTTTCGTTCGGGGAATATCAGAAGGACAACGATACAGTTATTTCCAATGTTGTAGAAAGCTCTCCACTTACTTTGGAAAACACTGAGATATTGTATTCATGTCGGAATGATATTTTCAGCCCCTGTCAGATCTGAACTTTAACATGCGAGGTCTGCGTCTGTGTCAGACTAAAGGCCTACAAGATGTTTAGCAACACTGGGGCGTAATAGCCATAGATCTTCTCCAAACAAGGGAATATATATCTTGTGGGAATGACTTCTCCGATAGGGAAATTTACAGCAATGCGACATCACAATTACTTACGTGATCTGAGTTATGGATCGTCAATTTAAACAGGACAATATAGACGAATTTCACGAAAGGCATAGAGATCCAACATGCCTATGATATACTCAGAGAACGCATCCGCCTGTGCTATCCGGTCATAATCGCTACACAATAAAAACAATTTTTCATTTCATGTCTCACAGAATATATAATTTGATATGGCATTGTTTGTTATCGTATACTTTTGCGTTAGTGAAACAAATGTGGACAACTTTAAAGTTTATGTATGGCGTTATTACAGCAAAGGCTGAGCGAATGGAGAAATAACATTGTTCAGGCACTGTGGGACTATTAAGGAAGGTCACATGCAGTGCAATAATATTCCAATTATGTACTGCCACAACATATTTTAGAGTAGTGATGCGCGAGCTGAACAGACTTAAGAAATTACGAGTTGATTCGTGTAGCATATTTGGCTGGGCTCCAAGAAAGACAAAGTGCTATTCTATTGTGACAGCTAGGGAAACTTGCGAGGACAAAGGGGCAACGCATCGCCCTTTGAACCAAGTAATTCACATGATGGATATATATGATCATATTGCTTGAGTACAGGTAACATGAAGGTGTATGAACCGTTCATATACATACCCCTGAAATCCGGTATGATACATACATATCTAAGGTGTGTAAATATTTGCAAATTTGCAAATTTACATGTGTTTCCCCACCTAAGTAAATTCACATGTTTCCAACCCGAGTAAACTTAGAACGAAATTGGAAATTTCAGCACCCATTGAAATTCAAAGGAATGCATTGGAAATACTGTATGATCATGTATTTACCGGGGTATCTGTTTTGCAATTCATGTTTGGAAATCCCTAACAATCCGGTCAGGGCATACATGAACGAGGTGCTTGTGCATACGAAAATGTACGATGAGCATATGTTTCAAAGGTATAGATTCATATGAAATATATGCCCGAAGTTAGGAAATATCTGAAAACATACGTAAATCCGGTCATGGCATGTATTTCCTACTGTATTTACGATTATTTCAATGGTTTACTATCCGGCTTTTGGTCCTGTGAGTGTATGAATGAAATACGTGTAGCTTTTTGTATGAACCTAATGTATACAATAAATATTGAAAACAAAGTTGCATACCGTTTATCGGGGATGGGAAATTCAGTTATGTCGGAATGATTAAGCGTCAAAAGGGAAGCAATACCCTTTCGTTTTGTATTAAATGTCCTATGATCGACTATTCAACCTTCAGTGTATGGCTCTGGGATCTCTCCCTTCCGTAGTGCAACAGACTGGCGTTGCCTTTGTCGATTAGCGGCACTTTGAACAGTAGTCAAGTGACATCCTAAAGGGTCCGCAATTGTAGGAGGAAACCCCGAAGTGGTGAGGCTCGTCATAGTTTACCGATTTGGTGAAACCCACTAAAGCGGTTAAGTGTTGACAAACCTAGAAACACCACCGTGGCGAGGCCACGATCACAGGGGTCTGTGCCGGTCATCTGCATCTGTGTCGGCCATCTGCATCCTAGTCGGTGATCTGCGTCTGTGTCGGTGATCTGCGTCTGTGTCGGCCATCTGCATCCTAGTCGGTGATCTGCGTCTGTCGGTGATCTGCGTCTATGTCGGCCATCTGAATCTGTGTCGGTCATCTGCGTCTGTGTCGGCCATCTGAATCTGTGTCGGTCATCTGCGTCTGTGTCGGTCATCTGCATCTGTGTCGGCCATCTGCATCTGTGTCGGTGATCTGCGTCTGCGTTATTCGCCCGTTTAGTGATTATTTATAATCCATATTATTCCAGATATTGTATAAATACATTAATTATTATGCAGTGTGATGTTGAACAAAATTAATGCTTTCACAATGCTCCCTCAGAGGAATATCGTTGATGTATCCTACAAATTGAAATCTTGGCGGTGCAATGCGCACAAATGATGTTTGCAATTCATGGAACTTCAAAGTGAGGATTGAAGAGCAATGGCATTTAGTCCCTGTGATCGGTCTTACCACACAGGTAAAATCTGTGAGAAACGATATGAAACTGACAAACATATATTATTAATCAGGGATTCGAACCGAAACCATAAGAATATGCACGCCCAAGCAACTCTGTGAAGCAATTTTCGGCGCCTCACATGACGGGTCCTCCTATGCCCATCATTAAGTGAGTGAGTGAGTAACGTTTTACGCCACTTTTAGCAACATTCCAGTAATATCACAGCCGGGGAAACCAGAAATGAGTTTCAAGTGAACTCATGTGGGAAATCGAACCCTGGTCTTCAGCGTGACGAGAGAAAGACTTGAACCACTAGGCTACCCCACCGCACATCATATGACTTGGACATAAATATAAAACAACACACACAAAGTTGATTTCTTGGAAGCATGGTAAAACAATGTATTAAGGATAGTTCTTTTATACAAGTATCATGCTTTAAAACAAACACAAAACCTATCGACTTCATCACAAGAAGCAACATATATCCATTTATAGTGCGGACATTCACTCTCGTCGCGATTAGCTTGATAACTCGAGATGCGGTTTGACTCGCCATTCCACTCAGACAATACTATCACGTATCATCAATATAAAACCAGTCATTGGATTGGTGTGCATTTGACATTTTTCCTTAGCTCGGTCTCCATGGTATTTCTACATTCACATATTTATCATTTTTCACCAATATTCTCCTTAATGCACAAGTACCGATTGTCAGAATGCTAACAAAATGACAATAGACAATAGTCTATTAAGCAGTACCTATACATTTCACTAACTGAATTTACATAATTTCAAATGTTAATAATAAATTAATGTCAATTTAATCATGTGGTCCCAATATAAATATATGTTGCCATGGGAACGTGTGTTCTTAAAAAATCGCACATTATTTAATAATAATACGTAGATAATTAAACATATTATTAGTACATACGTTAAAATTTGTTAATTAGAATTGTCATAGGGATGTCATTGTTAAAGGTTTTCCGTTTAAACATAGATTTTCTCCTTGTCCTTGGTTCCCGTTTTACAACTTTGATCGAGTGTTTTTTTCCATGTCTCGAAGTATTCTTCTGAGGATCTTGCCGCTGGCGCTCTTTGGAATTACTTGAAGAAAGGTCACTCCTCCCCTGAGTCTTTTGGTCCCCGATACTTTACCTGCAAGGTGGGAAGTCATGGACTGAAACACTTACTGCTAAAATGATTCCCCGCTCTAAAGTTGTATTATCACATTGTTACCGCCACATGTCAAGAGTTGAGATTTAACACCATGTTCCATATATGTTTTCGTCCAAACTAGACAATATTCAGGCATTCAGGTACATTAAAACTGTTTAAATCACGTAACATGTATTTCTTCAAACGAGCTTTATCAGGCAACATGTTTGCTTCTTGAAACTTCCCAAGAAAATATAGCCATGGGCTATTGCGAGTCACCGTTCCCCTATGGCATTGGACGTGTTCTTCATATCAGTCACTGGCTTGTCCAGATACTATTATATAAAGAGACAGCCCTGATATAACGGCGGAATGTTAAGTGCAGAGCTATAACAATAAACATCAAATAAAGGAAAAGACAGGCTCCCAGTTGTACGTAAAAAATGGTGTTTCCTGCCTTTCACAAAATCTTGCAGTTCTTGTTCTGTTGTCCTTGACCCCGGCTTCCTGACAACAAACGCTTTGGGCAACTCTCCTGCCTCGACATCCGGGATACCGATGACACCGACATCTGCCACGCCGGGGTGACTCAACAGCATGTCCTCCAGTTCAGCTGGCGCCACCTGGTGAGGAAATGCATGTCCAGGAAGGATGAATGGGAACAACCTCGTGTACAAAGACAGAGACCACCTTACTGGTCGTCACACGCCCCGCCCAGAAGACGGGGATTAGTTACAGCGAACATTTTCTGTCATTTCCCCCAAAAACCAAATACATTGCAAATAGTCAAAACGTCCAACTGACAGTCCATGACACGTAAAGAATTCTGGGAAAAAATTAATGTGTTTGTGAAAGTGAAAACCATGTCTAGCTCAAATGTGTTTATTCCATTGTGGATGTAACAGATTCAAATCGATCTCTTTCAGTGTCGTTTCACTCTAGGCTGATTTGAGCTGAGGTTCATGGCTCTTCGGCTCTTTAGAGCAAAATTTGATGATACGGATAATACGGATGCAAAATTGGCCACTCCCTGTACTATCTGTGCGCATAACTCTACGTACCCATACGTTAACAGTCAGTGAGTTTTATGCCGCTTTCAGCAATATTCCAGCAATATTACGGCGGATGAAACAAGAAATGGGCTTCAAACCTAGTTTCCATTTGGGGAATCGAACCCGGGCTTTGACAAACGAGCGAAAGCTTTAAACACCAGGCTACGTACCCCACCGCCCCAATACATCTACATCCTCCTCCGATCAGATGAGGAGACAGCTACTGAGGCGTGAAACAAGCTTTCACATATAAACGTAACCAGGATACATCATTGTTTAAAAGGAGTCGTCTTCCCCAGATGACAAGCACATTCACGTACATACATACTACATGGTGATGTTTGTGATTTAACGAGCGCTTCCTGTAAATCGTGTTTCCCACTCGGCTGTAAAAACAGCTAACGGTGAAAGACAGCCTGTCATAATAGCCTGTCATAATAGTCTCGGGGCGGCATTATTTTACCTTTTTACCAGGTTCAGTATCTCCTATCCAACTGGGGCTTCTTTCCAATTTAAAAGGAGTCACTTGTTTCTATCAAAATAATACATATAGTGTTATTCTAGACAGCGAAGATGAAGGTCAGTTCTTTGAGATTGGCCATTTGGGCAGTAGCTGAACTATGTCAGGGGGACCATCTCGTTCCCCCACCATTACCTGGAATCCCTTGTATTTGATGAGCTCCTTCAGTCGGTCAACAATGAAGAGAAACCCGTCATCATCAACATAGCCAACATCACCTATTGAGAAGGCAGATAAGTATATGGACAAACATGACAAAGAGATTTGTGCATTAAATATACACGGTTTGTGTAACTCAATGCACGAATAGATACTTTCAAAAATAACTTCCGAGAAGTCCTTGAGTGAGTGAATCTTGTATTGTGACAGTGGCGTTCCACCGACATCAAAAGGCCTCTATGAATTCATGGATAATTTGGCAGTATTCCGCCTATAGGTCGTTGCTTTCATCAGGACACTAGAGGGAAACATTCTGGGGAAACATATACTCCCTCATACTGTATTTGACCAGGTGAGATTTGTGCTATTCCCTCATTCTCGCGCCAAACAGCTTCAGTTGCATTCGGAGGTTCAAGAATTAGAGGACGATACAATATTTTCAGTGGTGTCGCGAAAGAGTAAACCAATGTTTTGAATATTTGACTGATCAAACAATTTCAGGCATTTGTGAATATGAAGGCCATAGTTCCTGACTTCGTATTGGGAGTAAGGAGTGAAGTATCAAGTATGGGAGCCTACGGGGTCGTACTATAGAAACCCACGATTGAAATGTATTTGACCAAGATTTTTGACACATACTATAACGAAACGCACGAGTATATTGTTCAATCTGACGCAGAAAATCACGAAATGTTAAAAATTTATACTTGAAAATTGTTTTCTTCATGAAAGAATGATATTTTTGAAAATATGATTAACTATTGTTGTCACTATAATTCGCTACCTGTCTTCATCCACCCATCCTCGGTAATCATGGCCCTCGTGGCAACAGGGTTCGACAGGTACCCTTTCATCAAGCTTGGTCCTCGTACATATAGCTCACCCTCTCTGTTTGCGGGTAGGGCCTTGCCGGTCTCCAGGTCGACTATCTGTGAAATGTACATGTGAATACTGTTTGCACCGTAGTCGGCAACATTACAACTATATGTCTGTAGTCTGTAGTGATCGAATCCCGGCATGGTAAAACAGCGATAGACAACTTAAGAAACGATCCACGTCTTCGGGGCACGATTGTACAAGATCAACCATGACGTTAGGGATATCACGCCGCTGGGCATGAGTACACAGTATCGACCACGCCTTGGGCAGGACTGCACACTATCGACCACGCCTTGGGCAGGACTGCACACTATCGACCACGCCTTGGGCAGGACTGCACACTATCGACCACGCCCTTGGACACGATTAAACACTATCGACCACGCCCTTGGCACGATTGCACACGATCAACTCCACGATGGGCACGGTTGCACACTATCGACCAAGCCCTTGGCATGATTGCACACGATCAACCACGCCGATTGCACACTATCGACCACGCCCTTAGGCACGATTGCACACTATCGACCACGCCGATGGACACAAATACACAGTATTGACCACGCCCTTGAGCACGACTGTACGCGACCCTTCCCGCCCTTGGGCACGAAGCCTCTGCTCTTATGGGTTATGACATTATAATCATCTTATTACTAAACATGGAGTATTATATATAACAGAGACGCGAACAGCCTGCAGTGTTCAGGGCGTGTACTGTATTAGACATGTATGCCCTACCTTACACTCAGCTCCTGCAATAGCAATCCCCACCGATCCGAACCTGTGCTTCTCATCCAGTGACAAGTGAGTCACCAAACATTCTGTCATTCCGAAGCCTGAAAGTAACATTGTAAAACACATATTAAAACTAATCATCTTTATCAGCTATGTTAACAACCTGACGGACCACTTGTTTGTGCAGAACGCTATGAACATAAATGTGATTTCCAAGTTATTTTTATTGTTTATCTATATTGAGTCTAAGTGACGATTAATCATTTATTTCCAAGCGTTGTGAGAGAAATTGTACAAAGTGTACAACTTCTAAATGCCACTGAAAGACATAAATGTGATTGTTTATCCTCCAAATAATAATAAGGTCAACGAATGAAAAGTTCTTGGTTTTATGTTTATAGATTTATAGTTTTCTGTTTTTCTAAGAACAAAAGCTGCCCAACTATTCTAATCGAAATGGAATATTACCCAATATTACCCTGTGTTACATGTTTGATGTTGAATATCTTTAGAATCTTCCCTTCGATGTCCTGACTGAGGGGCGCTGCTCCACAGATGACTCGGTGGACACTACCCAGGTCATACTGTCTTGCAGCAGGCAGGGTGGTCAGCAGAACCATCACCGGGGGTACCAGATGCAGCACGGTTGCCTAGGAAACAGTACTGTCACCTTATATCGACGTACATGTATATAGGAGTAAGGTGAGGTGAGGTGAAATTGGGTTTTACGTCGAGCTTGAGAATATTTCGCTCATATGACGACGTGCATGCGTGTGTATGTGTATGTGCGGATGCTTGTACTAGCCCAGGCTGAAGCTGGTTTTATAGTGCTAGCCCACTGAGATACCATGCCGCAGTGAAGCATGAATACCCCACTCAGACACAGTATACTGACTCCGAGCCGACCAGTCCTTGTTGTACCCATTAATTCCGAGCGCCAGGCAGGGACCAACAAGTACATTATTTTAACGTCTTTTGGTATGACGCGATCGGGGATCGAACCCGCAACCTTCCGCTCTCCGGGCGGACGCTCTAACCACTACACCACGGGGGCGGTCGTATATAGGAGTAAAGGATACATTGAATCATATTTGTTTAAGAAGTCATACGCATCTTTGTAGCAAAGTTTGTTCCTTATGTGAGATAATCGTAATATGTTTCACAATATGGCGTCCAACTAGTGTTCTGATCAGCTATGGCTGCAAAAATCATCTGTATATTATCAGATTTATGCCATGAAAGGTTTTAAGGAGTCGGTAGGTTGTGTCTGAATATATACCTATTATGTCGTTTCAGAAGACGCTAATGCTCACAAGATGCCATCACATTGAGGTTAATATTAAAAGTGCAATCTTCCGGAATCGAGGATGAAGGTGTTGTTTGTATTGATGACGTGGCCGGTGTACCGTGTCGGCGTGAACCTGACATGATCAAACAATATTCCTAATGAACAGGTAGTGTTAAGCATATGAATACATGACACGTTATATGGATAACGACTTCTTTTTTAATCTTTGATATTTGTATTCTTCTTGCTCCTGCTAGTATAGTTATGGAGTGAAGAGCAGTCCTGAAAGTTAAATCGTAGATCATTTCAGATATTTACAGAATTACTCAATTAATGTTTTTGCATCATTAATCAAAGCATGAAATGTGGTGATGGGTTGTTTGTACAACTGGCGGCTGACCATCAGCAGGGCTGCAAGTCACAATATTTCAACCATTGTTGGTTGGGCTTACGTTCAAAAGTTGAAACAACTGAGAACAAGCATTGTCCCTAAGTTGACATAATCCCCCGCCGCTAATTATCAAATCAAACTTATAAAGTAATGAAAGTTTAAGATGAAGGTAAATGTCAACAAAAACATGACCAGTCAACCTCTCTTGATATCTTGCTCTGTAGTTGTTCAAACACACAAATATTTTCATGACTGACTTTGACCTTGACATGACTGTCATAGTGTATGAAATATGAAAAAATAGTACTAAAGAAATTGCTTATTGAAAAACATGCAAGGGAAGTCTTGAAAGTCTATGAAGAAAATCCAGTGAAACGTTCTTGAAATATCTTGCTGTCAATTCAGGTTAACATGCTGAAATCTGTCGTCGTGACCCTGACAATGATATGAAGGTCACCAAAATTGACTGAGCCCTGCGCCTCTCCTTGATAAAGCTTGGTATTGAATATGAAGAAAATCCAGTGAACGGTTCTTGAGATAGCTTAACATGCAGGTAAAACGTTAAAGTCCCCTTGTGACCTTGAAATGAAGGTCAAGGTCACCAAACCTGACTTGGACCTTTCGTATACTGTGATGAAGCTAGGTACCAAATATGAAAAGAATCTAGTCAACGGTTCTTAAGATATTCCTTCGTACGTACGGACGGAGCCTAAAACTATAACCCCCGCCGTGCTTTTAGCGCGAAGCGGGGGGTATAGTTTTAGGCTCCGTCCGTCCGTATAAAAATATATGAGGTACTTTGCGTGACTAAATATATATAAAAATATATGAGGTACTTTGCGTGACACGGAGAGCTGAAGACACTGGCACCACCAATCTCACCCAACATTATTTGGTTATATGTAGGATTTAAATATGTAAATAGAATATCTGATATAATTTTGACAGCAGCACTGTGCTTGGTGAATCAGTTTCTGAGATGCAGGATAACGATTTTGCAACATCTTCAATGGCGAAATCTGAGTAGAGATAGTGGCGCCTGATGATGGCCTACACAACAGCACTGTTTATAACAGACAAGTTGTCAGTACTGAGAAGAAGAACATTGTTCTGAATGTAACTGCTAATCTAAGCCTGTCTCCAGCACTGTGCTGTTGGTATCCGACCTGATCCCAACCTGTTTCTAATAACAAGATGTTTGCTAAAAATACTATTCTCATAGACTGCTGCATCTGATGTTTTCATTAAAAAGCAGAATTTAGCGCAGTGAACAAATATAGATATCATTATGTTTCTCATTTTCGCCATACAAGTCATATTCGTAGCCGGATCGCAGTGGGTGAGTGAGTGAGTATGGTTTTACGCCGCTTTTAGCAATGTTCCAGCAATATCACGGCGGGGGACACCAGAAATGGGCTTCACACATTGTATTCATGAGGGGAATCAAACCTGGGTCTTCGGCGTGACGAGCGAACGCTTTAACCACCAGGCTACCCCACCGCCCAGCCGGATCGGAAATCGACCAAAAACGGACAACTCTTTATGACTCAACGGACAACTCTCTATGGCTCCGTTCCATAAAGCAGTCTTAGCGCTACGACTATCGTAGGGTCATGTTGAAATATGTAGTACAAGATACAGCCCTTGCACAGTTACACTCACCCTGTGTTCCTGTATGTTGCGCAGGTACTCGTGGATCTCGAACCTGGACATGACCACGTTCTTGGCCCCGCTGTACAAGCCGGCGGAGATGATAGTAACAAGTCCATAGATGTGGAAGAAGGGTAGGAACGTCACGTAGGAGTCTTTGTCAGTCAGGTTTCCCGGCTCCCTGGTGGAACAAGCAGATTACTCCGAAATGTAACGATTAGAGACATATAAAGGTTCATACCAAGTATAAGAACAAAGATGATTTCTGATGACAAACGCACTATGCGGGAACGCTTGCATAGGCGGATCCAGTGGGGGGATGCAGGGGTGCCCCCCCCCCTTTCCTGAAAGTTTATTAAATGACCATTGAAACTCTCGTGAAAATGAAGTGTGCACCCCTCCTTTCTCAATAGTGTGCAAACCACACCCCACCCCACCCCACCCCTTCTCAAAAAGCTTTGTCTGAAAAACTTAACATCAAAACAAATCCGATAGTTTCCGCGTGCCTCCCAAAGCAGCTCTATACAACTGCACTGGACAGCATTCCAGACTTTATTCAAAGAACCATTAAACTCTGTGGACAATTTTTTCTGCTCACCAAACATTTGTTTTGCTTGGTTTCATTCATTGTTTACGCGGGAAGAAGGCTCTACGAAATCGAGCTGAAACGGCCAGTAAAATTGCTGCAAACCTTCTTCGGGCAATGGAGGAAGGCGTTCCGATTTATCTCAGTTCACTTGCACGTCCATGCCCACAGAAATCCATTGCCAGCAACAACCCTAGATCTTGACCTTTCCCCTCAGCATTGAGACCCGATAGGGAGCCATTTTCCAGTTTTGCCGTTTAGAGTTATCTGCCCACTGTGACACGTGACCGCGGGCATGACAACACGTAAACAAGGTTGACGTGCCGTTTCTGTCTACAGACGATATTGTTTACTTTTGGTCTACGATCACTATTTGAAGAAAATATCAAGTATGTTCCTATCAAGACTGTTCCACAGTTGAAGATGTATTTGAAAGACCGTGGTGTGACATTTACAGGCTACATTCGTCGCGAATTGATCACTTTGTGCGAGTGTGTTGCCAGCTTGGATTTGCCCGTCTTCCAGGATGTTTCCGATGTAAGCTACACACCCCAAACACTCTCACACCTGAACATTAACTGTGACCCATTCCTGTTACAAGGCTACTCAAACAATTTGTCACAATGTCCGGAAATTGGAATATATGACGTATTTAATTACTTGGTGTCGTTCAGGCCCGATTATGACAGAAGGAAGCTTCGCGCCTACAAGTCTTTTCAAGACTATCGCTTGTTTGCTGATGGGCATGTCAACAGTGTGGAGTATGCTGATGCTACTGACACAATTGGAATTTTTAAAGCGTCTGTGAAGCCAACACAACGGGACAAGACCTACCTAAAGTCCGAGTTCTACAACCTATGGATTGCTGTGGAAAAAAAATAATGTTGACATTAAGAGCGCTTACTGTCAGTGTCCAGGAGGGTAAGTGAGCTAGCTGGCATTATACATTGAAAAGGTCTAAAGCTCGTAATGATGCTTGAATTAAAGAGAAACAACCAGTTCCAAACTCCATAATGTTTCAGTGGATCTTAGCCAATATTTATACATTTCTAATATCCATGTAGACCTATTCATAATACTGTGAAAGCAGTTATTGATGTTGCTCATGTATAATGTTACATGTACAATGTTTGTTATAATAACCCTTTGTCTTGAAACAAATAGTGTACATGTATTTTTCACATATTTCAGATCTGATGGAGCCTGCAGACATATAGCAGCAACACTTTTTGACATTGAAGCTTTTGAGAAAAAGAGCGTCACTGATGGCCCATCCCTATGGACCAAGCGACCAAGAAGTCATGATGAGCCTGTGCCACTGCGTCACCTAAAAGTCAAGAAAATCAGGTACAAAAAGAAAAACAAGGACATGTGGGAAATTTCAGAACACTAGTCTGCAAGTAGTTAATATTCTACATTAAAATCTGGTCTTAAATAAATCACAACCAACATGAAATACATGGGAGATATTTTTATTTTGCTGTACAAATGACCCATGTAAAATGTGTTGCAGCTATGGACAAACACTAGCAGACACGAACAGTGACCTTGGACAGGAGAATTTTGATCCTCGACCAATAAGTGACCGAGCAAATCCATCACTTGAACAGCTGGCCGATTTTGCAGCCTCCCTGCACCAGGTTGAAATGAGTTGAATATTCCCTATTTCAGTCCACAACATACAACAGTCATTATGTACCGGTAGTTAAAGCATGAAAATGTTAAGTATTCATATAAACGTTTTTGGAACAGGTGTTTTCAATGCAGATTGTTTTACTTTCAAACATTCATAAAAGCAATGAATATCTATCTGTAAAACAATACACTCAATATATACATACCTTCATGGGATGACACTTCCAACTTTCAGCTTGGTATCATGACAGAAATGGACAACTTCCAATGCTCAGAGCTAGTTGTAACCCAAATGAATGATATCATTTTGCAGAGAACTTATGAACATGTTTCATAATTGCAGATAAATCCGAATGCTTGTGCCTTGGAGAGCCTACTTGATCCCACTGACACAGAGACTCAAGCAACAAAATTAATGAGGAATGTGCTGCCATGTCCATAGTCAACAAACTACAGGCCCTTGACTTGCGTCCAGATACTGACATATCTCAGGATGCAATTAATAGACTCAGATACTGTACTGATGACATTACTTACATTGAACATGAAACCACAGGACAGAGTGAGAATCCTACATGGTCAGTTATGAGAGAAAAGGCATGGTGACCACTTCCAATTTTAAACGTGTTTGCACCAGGGCAGACTCTTTTGAAAAAACAATAACATTGATTGTTCAAATTTAGTGAAATGTTTGCTCCATGACAGTCTTAGCATTGACAATAGCAATGTACCATCTTCTATTGTGTGGGGTAGAAAGAAAGAAAGCAAGGCCAAAGAAATGTATAAACAGATTGAAAGAAGGAGACATAAAAATTATTAGTGAAAATCAAAGGTTTATTGATTGATAAAGAAAATCCTTTCCTTGGTACTTCAGTGGATGGTACAGTTGAATGTCAATGCAAAGAAAATCATCAAAACAAATTATTAGAAATTAAATGTCCATGGGCTTTTGAGACTGTGATCCTAAAACTGCTGCACAATGTAGGGGATGTTACCTGAAAGATGGTAATTGGTATCTTAAAGATGATAGTGATTATTATTATCAAATTCAAGGCCAATTAGGTATATATGGATTTCAGTCCTGTGATTTGGTAATATACACCAGGAAAGGTATACATGTTATTAATGTACCTTTTCATGAACAATTCTTTGAGTCTATGATTAGAAAAATCAAAAATATATATGTAAAAATATTACTTCCTTCAATATTGCAGACTTTAAACAAGTAAAATAGATGAAGATATTTGTCAGCTTTGGCTGAAACTTCCTGGTTACTGTAAGAGATATTCCTTTTGAGTGACTTGGACATCTATTTAGCAAGAACATTATCCAAGTTGCACAGTGACGCTGCTACATTTACACACTGACAAAGAGAACCTTTGATTTTCAAAGGAATAACACCCTGTAATAGTTTATATTCCTTTAGTCTCCCAATAGCTCTCTCCACATGTATTCTAGCATTTGCTATTCTCCTAGTTTTAGTAACTGCTACTGAACTGAGTTGTCTCCCATGAGAAAATGGTGGTATGTTGAGAGTTGTCTTTCTAAAGGCTAATAGATCTCTAATTAAAAGCCTCTATCAGCCATGATGTCATCATGTTCAGAGAGTAAATCTAAGAAACCAGATTGTTGAACTATCTTCCTATCCGAAATGCTGCCTGACCATAACTTTGAAACAAAAGTAAATGAACCTTTTGGAGAGCAAGCAACTAAACACTTTAAAGTATTTCTATGTTTATAAGATGACCATGTTACTCTCTGGCTGGAAGGAATACTCGGTTTTGAAGTAGAAATTCTGTACAATCAATAACTGCTTTGGTATTTGGAAAATATTTAAAACATTTAGGAAGATTATGTTTCACCTGTCTTGTGGAAGGCCATTTGATAAGAAAACATAATTCTTTGCACATCAGATTGATCCATGTGTTGAAAATTCTACTAATGTGAGAGTTCGAAACACCAAACAAGTCAGACAACTGTTCCACATCATTAGCTCGTCGTAGGCGCATCAGAGTGATGATAAATTCCTCATACAGAGAGAGAAGTCTTGACGGGCCTCTGCTGGATTTTTGCTGCAATACAAAAGCAGGAAATTGTACACAACTAATTTTGAACATTTACAGTGCTGTACCATTTACATTCTGAACTGATATCAGAAACTATGCGTGAAATAATGCATTGGTTGCCAGCCAAGATTCAGAGTTGTATTAATTGGAAACTTTTGTATTATCAGTAAAATGTCCCAATGTTCTGACCATAATAAACTGAATATTTCTGAAAAGTTAACCAGCATCAAATGGTTTATATAATATGTAATGTCATTTGGTATGTACTAACTGACATGAGTATTAATGACAAAACACACCCCATCTTGCTTTGTCTCACTTTGACCTCTCCAGTAAGTCATCCTGGCAGCCTTGTCCTTCAACCAGTTGAACACCAGCATGAGCATGGCAACACTGAGCCCTGTTGTAAAAGTGTAACACTGGTCATCAAACATCATTGACAATGTGACATTGAATAATAACCACCACCATAAATGAAACATGAATCTGATATTTTTGGTTACAGTGCCCAACCCAAAGGATTGATAAATGTAATACTTAGTTATTTTATATATGCTGGTATTTTGTATGTATATACCTTTAAACACAATAACATGTAATATATGTACCAGTGTAAAACTTGCTGCTTTTGTTGTTTCTTGTGATGTTATCCATTGTTAATTTTTTGGTCAGCATCTTGGGGTTCTGCAGCACATCATCTGTGTATGAGCTGATGTCATCAAAACACAAGTTTGTTTGTGTGGAGGCATCAGCAGTAGATTTGATAGTGCTGTAGATGTGATCACCAAGAGCTGTCATTGGACCAACAATGTCCATTCCCATCTGAACTTCACCTGTTGAATAATATTAACATACTTAGACCAAAAGAATATTATAACAGAATATATACACTCAGATTAAATTATTTCATAAAGGGGCGATTCAATCAAAACAAGTGGATGTGAGAATGAATTAATTATAAAACAACATGCTAAAGTTATATTCTTTTGAACATACATACATTTGGTAGGTAAGACATCATCCTCTACCATTCTCTTTTTGCTTGGGGTGTCAGAGGCTACTGGGTCTGCCTGTCTTTGTCGAGGTGGTGGCCTAGGCTTCAAGGGCGTGGAAGTTATCGAGACAGGGTCTGGGAAATCCAAAGTTGGTCCACGGCCACCTGACAGGATATTTATAAATCAACTGTAGTTCACACAAGCACTAAAGCGGCAATTTAAAACTATGCATGGGTACATTATTTTACACCATGTAACCACTTTTTTATCATTGTCCGAGAAATTAATGATTTGCATTGACGATATAGTTACTATTTTAGAATTCCACCTGATGGAAACATAAAATTGTAGCATATTCAGACAAAACTCACCTACGAAGTGTTTCGAACAAAATATATGTGCCTCGTGATGTTTTTGACGTCAAATCCCTCTCGACCACAGGCCCTCGTCCACCTCAAACATTTCTCCGGTTGACTCTTCAGCTTCGGAAAAGGAATAAAAAACACGTTTTCCATCTCATGGCGATCCTTGTACCTGTTATCAGACTTACACAATCCATAGCAACAGTGGTGGTAAGGCATCTTCTGCTTTTCTCGGTGTACACGTCAGATAGCGGTCGTTGCACAGTCAATTACGTTACAAATTTTGACAGCCGTTTGTTTTGACAGTTTGCCCGCGGTCACGTGGTTTTGCAAAGGGACATCACTCTAAACGAACTTATTTCGCGAAACTGGAAAATGGCTTATTGGGACACGATGACATGTGTCAACCCAGTCAGCGAGCCTGACCACCCGATCCCGTTAGTCGCCTCTTACGACATGCACGGGTTACTGAAGATCAATTCTAACCCGGAGCTTCACGGGTACCATGACCTAAGCTCACGTGACTTTCAGTCTGATGTGGCAACAAAACAAGGCCGGTTACGTGACCCTGTGGGGATTCGTTGAGTTAAACAATCATCACCACGGCACAGTTTCCCATCTGTATGGGAGGGATGATATTGTCTAACTTGTTGACAATGTAATAGAGTTACAAAAGGAATTCCTTATTTTCGAAGTACTCCGTAGTAAAAGGGTGGCACTACGAACCCATCAAACATAACTGTACACTTGGCATTATACCGAGTTCCTGACAGTCATATTCGTTTGATGCTTACAGTAAAAAGAATTCGAACATAGCGGCTGAAGTAGTCTGTCTCACAGTCCCTGAACCACATTACTTGTATTTTCCCTACATGAAGCCCTCAATAAAGCAAGTCTAGATATCCTCAGGTTCAGGTTCTCAATTTCCAATCTCACTGGGGCGCCTTTTCAATATAAATGGGAGTATTTGTAACTATCAAAGTTATGTATATTCAGACTAAACGTTAGTCTGCGGATGGAACTAAAGGCACCAGAAAAGATCATACCGCTTCAAGTTATATCTAATGGTTTATTATATAAGAGTTGAATTGTTTAAGAAATTGACCTAAAAATAACATTAAAAAACATCGAAAATCAGACATCAACAACCAAACAAATGTTCCAAAGTTGATGCAACGTAACACCAAGCACCATCCCCTCAGTTGGGGGCCACATTTCATAAACATGTAGAATTGTTGCCATGGACACTGTAAACTGAAAATTAATTCTACTTGTGAAATTGTTTATTTCAATAAGTGAGTGAGTGAGTGACTATGGTTTTACGCCGCTTTTAGCAATATTCGAGGGATACCAGAAATCGGCTTTGCACACTGTAACCATGACACTTAACTATTAGGCTACCCCACCGTCCCTTATTTCAATGAATGTGAATTTCCGCAAGTTGTAAGTAAATGTCAGCGGGTGTGTAGAAGAAATTTAGTACTCTTAACATCAAAGCTACTGTTTCACTAACGCACGCACGCACACACACAAACACAAGAACGGATAGGTGTGAGGTCGTGCGTGCGTGGGTGCGTGGGCGAGTGCGAGTGCGAGTCAGTGCGGTGTGAAAACGTCGGTAGCTGGTATACGAAAACAGAGCCCAACATAACTATTAAGAAATCTTAAGTGCCCCATTTAGGGTGTTGTTGTGTTAGTAACTGAAGGCACACAAATAAACAGATAACATACAGTATAATACATACAACATTTGTAGCACGTTGGAGGTCATTGCATAGTGGCATATCTGCACCGCTTTTGGTTTTCCGGTCGTGCCACTAGAAAATAAGATTGCCGCGACGTCGTTCTTCGGGTCGATGCCTCGGTCGCTGATTGGTGCATCGGAAATATCGGACGTGATGAGAGAGGAGAAACTGACACACCCTTCAGCCTTACCCAGCACGATAACCTTCTGAAATGTACAAGTTACAGACATCTGTATGTATTTTATGACCTTGATTGATTGATTGGCTGTTGTTTTACGCCGCACTCAGCAATATTCCAGCTATATGGCGGTAGTATGTAAACAATCGAGTCTGGACCAGACAATCCAGTGATCAACAGCATAAGCACAGTACATGTGTCAAACAAGTCAGCGAGCCTGACCACCTGATCCCGTTTGTTGCCTCTCATGACAAGCACGGGGTACTGAAGATCAAGTCTACCCTGGATCTTCAAGGGTCTTTGATAACCTTGAGTGAGTGAGTGAGTGAGTGAGTGGTATCTGTTTTAATGCATCACATCAAATTTGTAGTGAAGCTTTTCATGGACATACAGCCTAAACATATATATGCCATACCTGTAATGTATGGGAATAGTCAGCTTATACTCTAAACCTACCAAGTGATTTCACATGGGGCAGCTCAATAATATATGCTGGTGAAGGACAGGTGACCTTCTAACCCCTCTCACCTGGATGGTGTGACCCTGGGCCTGTTTGACAACTGGTAGCATATCCGGTAGGGTCAGAAGGAACTTGCTGTGACAGATGTCGAAGGTGTGTTTGAGTTCATCTGGAGAAACACATAAAGAGTGAGTTGGATTTATGCTTCACAGTATGTCAGTTTGTGGGTGTGTTTTTGTTGTTGTTGTTGTTGTTGTTGTTGTTGTTGTTGTTATGTTTGTTTGCTTTTGATTGTTTTGTTGTTACTTTTTAGGGTTTTTTATTTTTTTTGGGGGTGTTGGTTTTTTGTTGTGGTTTTTTTGGGGGTGGGGGTGGGAGGCGTAATAAAGACGAACACTGGTGATGAGAAACAAAGGATCACAATAAGGGTAAACGGGATTTGAACACAAGATCACTGGATCCTGGCAGACCTAAGAGAGGCAACTGGCCATGGGCGACCTGGGCCCTCGAATATATAAATCAATTTAGAGCTCAACCTGAATAATTGAACCTACCAGTATATTTGTGATGCGAGTGACTCCACGCTATGTCTGCAGCCATCCGCATGGAATTACTAGGCCTTGTCAGTGAACAAAGCACAGTCACCTTTCTGACTTTTATTTTTTGTTTGGTTGCACTGAAACTCTGCCGGGTCCTTAGGATTACGTGGGAAACGGGGATCGTGTTTGTGTGTCTATTTCGGTCTACTTTGTGTTCATATCCCATAGTTTGGTAGTTCCCTGCTGTTTTTCTTAGACTTTGGCATACAGGGGTTCGAATCACTGTTTGGACAATAATTTTTAAAAATAAAAATCTAGATTTTTGCAACCGTATATTGTTCTTATATGTTATGAGTAACTTGTATTTCAAATTTGAACGAAATCGGTGAAGAAATGGATTTTTTAGAAAATTCTCCCGCTGCACTCATTACATGTTTTGAGAATTTTCTAAAAATTCCATTTCTTCACCGATTTCGTTCAAATTTGAAATACAAGTTACTCATAAAATATAAAAACAATATACGGTTGCAAAAATCTAGATTTTTATTTTTATAAATTATTGTCCAAACAGTGATTCGAACCCCTGTGCTTTAGCAGGCCTATGTTAGTCACCCAATCCTCAGATCAACGAAGAAAAAGAACCTCTTGACCTTTAACTGTTGACCCCTGTGAATATTCATGACTGGCATGGTTCATTACATCCCAGGGGTAATGAAGGTGTAACCCGTGGAACTCAGCATGCAAGGCACTGATCATTGTCGGTATTCATTTGAAAGAGTCTGATATTTAAACTAACAACTAGTCTCTGAAATGAACATATTTTACAGAAAAAAACAGTTCATAATACCAACAAAATATATTAAAAAGGAGCCCTGAGACATTCTTCATTTTCAAACTGTGGAAATCTAGACTTGCCACATATTCTAGCAGAAAAACGTTGTCCTGTGGCAATTTTCAACTTTTTTCATTAATTTAACTCGGCTGTGGTTTGCGATATGCCAACTAAAAAAGTGATCTGAATCTCTTACCTGCATTGTAGAGCGGGTTGGTCGCTTGTAGTACACCACCAAGGGAGGCAACTGCGTAGAACACGATTGGATATTCAATGACATTCGGGGAGAAGATACAGAGAACGTCGCCTCTCTTGAATCCGAGGTTACTAAGTCCACGGGCCAGACGTCGGATTGTGGCAGAGAGCTCGCGGTAAGACATGGAACGGCCAGTGTTCGAGTCGACCTGAGAAAGCGTGTTAATATGATCATGAATGCACTTGATAGTAAATTTCTCAGTATAACACGTTGTATTTAGGATTACAGTTTCTCGGTAAAGCACAGATTCTAGTACTTTTGGGGGGTTAGGTCCAATCCTCTCAGAGTCACGCACCTTATCGTCTAAATTCAGCAATGTAACCCACTCAGCCACCACAAAATGATAGTCTGGATCACGATCTTTGTGTACCCTTCTGACAAGTGTAAACCGGGACTGATCCCGCGACCGAAAGCTAAGAATACACACAATACCATTTAGTGATCATATTTCATGTTATATTTGGGAAGAAGTACTATTATCTCTTCATTACTGAGAAAGTGTAATCGAAATTCTAACAGTAGAGCTACAGACAACATTTTGGGTCATTGAGTTATGTACTCACTTGTGTTCATCTCAATTGGGTATCATAATATCCTTTGAGAAACCAAATAAATTTTGTACCCAACTAACTCAAACTCAACTGGGTATTTTGCCATTTTCAATTAATTGTAAAAATATAATAAAGCTTAAGTGTTGATTTACGTTTTTGTTACGATATTTGATCTGTAATATGAGAAACGATAAGAAAGACTGCAAGTTGACAAGTTCATGTAATAAAATAGAACCTCTCAATATACCTCAGTTATTTTATTAGTATTTTTATCCTCAGTAACCTCCATCTGTAGCACATGGGTCTGCTTATTCCAAATTCTAGTAGGTTTAGTGACAAGAACTAATTCACCGGTACGAAAGCTAAGATTTTACATGTTTGTGTGTAAGCATGTAAGATCAAATTTATTGAGTATTTACAAAAATTCAAGCGTACTTGTACCGATGGACGTAACAGAATTGACTTTTCACATAAATATTTGCGTAATTTACACACATACGCAGCTTCTCTGTACCTCTGAATGATATGTCTTCAGGAGAAGTGAAATTTAATATTGACAATTTCAGGAAGTCGTATATATTTGGTATAATTGTGCGTTGTTAGTGAGGCTAATTGTGTTCTTCTAAAAAGCATTCATAATTTTCTTGGCCATACACAGAAATTATTTATTTTATTATTTTCAGAATTAAAAAGACCTGTGTCCCCATATAGATATTATGAAAACTTTGCCACATTTTGCAACAGACCTTGAGAGGATTGGAGATTTATCCATTATATTTTCATATACTTATTAAAATTGACATGGTCATGGTACGACCTGTTTTGGGGTAATCATTTAACATCATTATTATCCTGATGTTAGCGTGCTTGCCATACTATATAAAGAACACTGTATTTAGACGCTTTAAGTTAGGACAGCCATGACAATATTTGTTTCAAAGATTAGTACATACTAGACTAACGCTTAGTCCCTGAATATATATAAATTTGATAGTAACAAATAAACCCATTTAAATTGAAAAGGAGCCCCAGTGAGTTGGGAGATTTAACCTGGTGAAATCTATCCTTGCTTCAGTTACGGCTTTAGTATTGCAGAGAGGGCTAGGCATTAGGGAAAATAATGTGGTTCAGAGACAGGCTAAAAGTACGTACCAACAGTACATGGAATTGGTTTCGTTAGTTTCCTGTATTATATTGCGAACATACAAGTCATTCAACGCCATATATCAGTGATTTTTTAAATCATGTAAACCAAATCTGAATTTACATAACCATCGTATCAATTATTTATCTTGTAATTTCATACTGTAAACAAAGTTTGAAGTTTTGAATAATGTGTTCAGTAGCTTGAAGTATTTATAAACGTTGTTCACTCAAGCATGAACATATCTTTGTGTGAATGAGTGAGTGAGGATGGTTTTACGCCGCTTTTAGCAATATTCCAGCAATATCACGTCGGGGAACACCAGAAATGGGCTTCACACATTGTATTCATGTGGGGAATCAAAGGCGGATTTTCGGCGTGACGAGCTAACGCTTTAACCACTAGGCTACCCCAACGCCCCACATATCTTAGACGTTGTTTGAATTGAGTTGCGTTGCAATATTCATTGCCAAATTCTTGCGATACCTAAACGTTAGAATATCTAGTTGAGAAAACATCTGACGCCCAGCTTTCCAATGGTATCGTGTAAACTTATCAGCTGGTAGAAATCTGATAATGGAGGCAATACACAGGACCGTGGCTGCTGCGCGCGCGCGCACGCACGCCCGCACGCACACACGCACACACACACACACACACACACACACACACACACACACGCTTGGGCACAGAACAATGAACATTTTCAGTAGACTAAGGCTTAGTCTCTGAACATATATAATTTTGATAGTAACAAATAAACCCTTTTATACTGAAAAGGAGTCCCAGGGCACAGATTCAGAACCTGGGGAAATCTAGGCTTGCTTTATTTAGGGCTTTAGCATTGCAGGAAAGGCAGGGCTATAGGCACAATAATATGGTTCAGGGACTGTGAGACAGACTAGATTTTCAGTTACTAACGGACGGACCACAAGGATGAGCCTGACCATTGAGATACGCCAGTTTAACACTGACAGTAACGAGAGATCTAGAAAATCCATATAGGTCAACAGCCCCTGCTATAGATAGGGGGAAAGGAGGTCGACTCGAATGCGACAAGTGTCGAATTTACTCACCAAGGCAACCTTTTCTCCAAGCTGATCGAACCTTTCCGTCATGAATGTCCCCAAAGAAACACATGGCAGATGTAAAGGCTTGCCTTTCCACAACATGTTCGCACGCTCGCTCCTAACCGGTCTCAAACGGGGGTCAAGGTTATAGGGCAGGACACAAACCTGATATTCCTTCAAAAACCATTTGTTTTTGATATCCGAGAGAGGTATATACAACCTATACATGAAATGAAAGCTTGTGATCTGAGTATTGAGAAAAAAAATGATGTGGTGAAATTTACGTGGACATTCTCTTGTAAAAACGAACCAATAAAGTCTTTAGAGAAACATTACAGTAATATGAGTCATGAAGACACTAGTACTACTAGTACTTCCTGTAGTCTGCTGAGACCACTTCCTGTTCTAGCAGTGTTGTCATTTGGAACTTCACAGCTTGTCAGATCTTTTTCCAAAGATTTCCACCTGAAGCATTGACAAGTCTTCGGATTTCTTCTACATCATTATTGAGGTGAGCTGTTTTTTAATTGTGAACTTTTCAACAGAACCTTATGTTTTAATGATAGACATGACAGAAGATTACCAGTGGGTTTAGTTCTGCACTAATCTTGTTTGATGATAAAATTTGAAATACATTTCAAATAGCTAATTTGTTATGGTACCTGATATTCTAAGGTATTTTCATGGCATTTTACATGTTTAAAGTTAAGTGTTTCATTGACAGATTTCAAAATAATTAAGTCTCAAGTTTTAACTGATGAAAACCCCTGAGAGGCCATTTTGAGGATGAAAATATTCATCAAATCCTATTCAGAGAATCTTATGCTTTATCTTTCTTATTGTGGTCTAATTACTTTTCAAATATTATAAAATTGTGGTTTTATTAGGTTTTTATAGATTTGTTTTCGAAGAATTTTTGAAAGCATGCACTGATAACATTCCAAAACCCTAAAAGGGCCTCCATGTATATAATGCCTGGTCAGTGTAATCATGTGACCCAAACATGTTAGTGATATATCCCTACAATATAATATTACCTGATTGTGAACCTCAACTGAATTTAAATCACAAATTTAAGCAAAGGATGTTTTTAAGTGATTTGATGTATATAGTTAAGTTAGCTATTAAAATTTATAAATGTTTATTCATAATATCTTTCTTAATGTATATATAATTTCACAAAAACAGAATTTTTTAATACATATTTCTTTGACCAAAAAAGAATAAAGAACATTTGACAGAACATTTCCTTCAAAAATATTTATTAGATTTAATTATTTTTGTTAACATAGATATAACTCAATCTGTATGTGTGCATGCTGTCATAAAAATAAAAAAAATATTTTCCCTAAAATAAATTGTATTTTTGTTTGTCTTTATTTGTAAAAGTTTAACCTTTAGTAGTATACATTGTCTTGTTTTTTATTTTTTTTAACTTTTGCTATAATTTCCTTGTGTATTATAGTGAAAGTTTGTATTTTGAAAAAAACATTTCCATTTATGAAGTAGTTTTTCTCTTCTTTTTCTTGATACATTTCAAAAGTAAAAAGATTTAATGATTAAACTCTGTCTAATTTCAGGTGCACATGAAATACACATGGACTAATGCCATATTTTGTCAAGATGGGTCCAAAGTTGAAGACCTTCATGAACCTTTTGGGTATGTATGTATTCACAGTAGTTTCACAAACAGTTGCTTATTCAGTGACGAGATCATAACTCTTTTTTTCAGATTCTAAATATTAAAAAAAGCAAACTCCTATTTTGTTGTGATAAAGTGAAATTTTGTGTTTAAGAAGGGCATTTCTCTTCATGAAGTGTTTTTCTCCTTGTCACAATCATATATTTCAAATATTTGAAGATTTCATGTTTAAAATTTTCTCATTTTAGGTGCTTGTCCAATAAACTGAAGAAATGGAGGCAAAGCCAGTCAAGTTTTGACAAGCCCAAAACAGATCACTTTCATGAGCCTTTTAGGTATATATAGTATCACTGTAGTTACACACACATTTACTTATTTATTGATAAAATCCAATCTTTCTTTTTGTAAGAAATGAAGTAAATCTTGCTCTTATTTTGTGTAACACGAAATGACCTTTGTGTTTAAGAAAGGAATTATCTTTATGAAATATTTTCTACTTGTAACAAATATATAAGAGTAGAAGGGCTCGATTTAAGAGATGTTAACCTACTTGCACCAGGTGCAACCTAAGATAACAAAACCTAGTTGAACCAGCCAAATTCCAGCTGCACTGCTTTTATTGCAATATGTAATGAAAGAACTATGCTATTGAATTATTCAAAGTTTATAAGAAAAATGTGCTGACTTAATTATGCTTATAATGTTCGATTTATTGTTGATATATTTCTCAAAAATTGACTTGCACCTGGTGCAAGTTAGACAAATAACTAGATTGCTTTTTGTCGAGCCCTGTTTAGTGATACAACTTTCTTATTTCAGGTTCACTTCAAAGAGAAATGGAATCACAAGGACTAAGTCCAGTCAAGCTAGGACAGGTCCGAAAGGGAAAACATCCATCTGCTCAGGGTTCGAAATCTACGCTAGTCCGCTAGCCCAAGGCTAGTAAATCTCCCGGAGGACTACCAAAACATCTAACAGTACTAGTCCGCCGGGCTAGTACAGAAGAACAACACCGTAGGCCGGAAAATCAACCAAGACGTCACTAGTCCCCTGACACCGCAGGCCGGTAAACCGGCCAGGCAGTAGTCGCATCAAAATGATACATAATTTTAGGAACGTAACTAACATATGATTCTTTTATCAAATCTGTCACTTTTTGCAATGTCTGAAAACACGTATTAAATTTCAAATGACCGTATATTATCGACAGTATTAGAATTATCTATAGATCAGACACATGCTTCGGCAACGGTCCACAGCAAAGTTGTCAAAGAGCAAAGAAACAATGTTTCGAGGAAATAATTAAGCAAACAGAATAAACTGAAGAATAAAATACACAACAGTACTCATAAAAGTTGTCAAACGTACATTATAACTTACTATTTCCATCTTTTCGAGCGATCGTGTAATGTAATTCAAGTAACATCTCGGCTTTCGTCGCCTCGAACTTCACGCTCTGACACGATGTTTAATGCTAAAATATATGCATGAAGTATTTTTGTCACAGGTCATAACCTAGCACGATACGTCCACTAAGTTCCATAATATACGCATAGGTAGTGATTTGTTTGCGTAACACGTTCAGAATAGCTTGATTTTACCGAAAACTTTCGTCTAAATCTTCAAGTTTTTGTTTACGAGGACGGTATCCATTGCTGTAATATGATTGGCTGCCTTAGGTCATGTGTACGATTCTGACCAATCACAATCCTTATAGTAGAGTGTGGCGAAAAAGCGTCATTAGAAACCAATCTTTATCCAATAAAATCGCTTCTTACAACTGTGAAAATACTCTTGACAAGGGTTCGAACGGTACCCGCCAAAACATTCACGATGCACCGCTTCCTAGGCATCGCCCCCCCACCCAAGAAGCAAAAACATGAACGACACAAGGAAAATGATTCCAACAAGCGCGAACGTAGTTTCCAAAACAAATGGTTATCTTCTTTCTCCTGGCTCGAATGTCATACGACAAACAATCAGCCTAAAATGTATTGTAAGCTGTGTCGTAAACAAGACACCGCTGGTTCTTTCGTGACAGGCTGTACTAACTTTAAGATAGAAGCTTTACGAGCACATGAAATTTCAAAATCCCACATAAAACATTCCCTTGCACTCAAAGCAAAACAAAGCGCAGTTGGAACCTCGGAAGCTGAGAAGACCTTACAGAGTTTGGACAGGAATGTCTTCCACAGAATGTGTTACCTTTTCCGTAATGCCCACGCACTTGCAAAACATTCCCGGCCTTACATGTAAGTTTAATTATCAACAGCTGTGGCATTCGTGACAAAGACAGACCAGCTCCATACTACAAGGTTCAATAAAAATAAGAATATTCCGGTAAGGGACCGTTCATATTTTTTTCCTCCCCTGGGGTGGGGGGATGATGGTATTTGGGGGAGAAAGAAACGGAGAAGAGGGGGGATGATGATTTTAAGGGGATACCCATTTTGTTCTGGGGAGGTAGGGGTTATCAATTTGTACACTTGTTTCTAGGGGAGGGTCATCAATTTTGTACATAAACATGTTTAAAAATTATGCTTAAAAATATTGGAAGGGGGTCATTGATTTTGTACATGACATGCGGGGTGGGGTGGGGGTCATTTACTTTGTTCATAAATGTTACGGTGGGGGAAGGGAGGAGGGTTTCATTGCACATTGAACATGCTTCTCCATAAAAATTATGAACAGTCCCTAAGATGTATAACATTGAAACAGAATGTAAAATATTTTTAATTTATTTTGTTTGAAGACATATTTAGTACTTTTGACACACTCCTCAAAAAGGAGGTGAAATTAATAAAGTAAAGGGAGGGATGGTCATCTGCTAAGTATTTATTGATTGCCTAATAAATCAATAAATGTCAAAAATTAATTATATTGATAAGATCATGATAAATAATTGAAATAGATGAAATTATGATAAATAATTGAAATAGATGAAATTATGATAAATAATTTAAATAGATGAAATTAAGAAAAAAATTTAACTTGTTGAATTTTTTACTTATGAACCTGTTTGTTTCAATAAAAATAGATTTGTTTGGTTATTAACCAAATGGAATGACACCCTGTAGGGAAAGGTCATGACTTTGTCACAATGCCACTAAAAATGGTTTCAAATTCATAAATCTCTCCTTTTAATCATATTAATAAATAAAAAATTAAAATACTTCTTTGTCCTTTAATTCAAAATATCTATATTCAAGTTCATGATATAAAACAAATTCTTAAAAAACTGTCAATCATTTTGTAGGGACTTTGTCTGGCTCTGCAAGCTTGACAAGATCAAAGGACTTGATGTAGGAAGCACCTACATGAACGACAAGGCTGCAAGCACGTTCGTTCATTTCATTGCTGCTACTCAGAAGAAGGAGCTGAGTTCAAAGGTGGCAAGCAGTACTTTTTTGTCTCTCATAAGTGACGGCGCTACCGATGCCTCACACACAGAAGCCGAGATAGGCTACATAAAGCTTTCATGTCATGGACAAAGTGAGACCCATTTTCTAGGTATTAAATCAGTTGGCAAGGCTGATGCAGAGAACATTTCACAAGTATTGACTCGGATGTTGGATGAGACCCTCCCTTCAGACTGGCCTAAGAAACATGTTGGTATGGGCACCGATGGTGCCAGTGTTATGACAGGGAAGCTGTCTTGGGTTGTCAAGAGAATGTCCGACAGGATTCAGCATCCCATCTTCGCAGTCCACTGCTCAGCTCACCGGCTCGACTTGTACTACTTCTACAGGAACAGTCCTCTTAACCGCCACAACTTGAAGGAAGCTTTCAAAGTGTTTGATCGCAAGCCAGTAATGACAACTCGAGTCGCTGGAACGAGATGGCTGCCGCACACTGTCAGGGCTCTAAAGAACCTTTTTAAATCATTTGGACCAATCGTGACACACCTCAAACAAGTAAGTAAATTGTAGTATAGCTTTGCCTAAAATCACTCTTTCAGCATGAACTAACTCCAAAGCCAAAACCTGTATAGTTACAAAAGTTGTTTTCATTTCATTGGACACATTTTGTAACTACTAAGTTATATATCTCATTATGATTACAATAATCAAACCCATGAATGATATCCATTAAATGATATTTATAATATTTTAGCTTCAGAGTGATGGGCAGAAGACAACTGAAAGGGCAGCAAAAGCTAGGAATTTTCTTAAGGTCCTGACTTCCAAGGATGGACTGTACTTCCTCCATTTCCTGCTAGAAATGACCGCTTGCCTTTCCCAGTTGTCCCTGGCCTTCCAAAAGACATCCACAACAGTAGGTGACATGTACGGTGAACTGGAGGCGGCAAAGACTCTTTTGGACTCATACAAGACAGAGTAAGTTTGATATGACACTGTTCATTCCTTCTAATGCTTGGTTGTGCCCAAACTCTGCTCTTCTGCTTAACAAAGTTATCTATTCTGAAGGTGGTGGTACTCGAAACCAAACTTTTAAACACAATTGCATGTTGTCACCTTAGTCCTTAGCAGTAGTTACTCTCCTAAAAATAGATATTACCATAACCCAGATTCTCCCTGCATTCTAGCTCTGTATGCTTTTCTGTCTAATCCCTGAGTGAATGAGCTCCGGCATCCTGTCTTGCTTTTGCATCCTGTCTTGCTTTTGCATCCTGTCCTGCTTTCCTTCATTATAGGAATGGTTTTAGTCTTGGGTCTGTGATTGGGACCTCTGTATTTGACAACCAGGAACTGACAGGGAATCTAGTCAGCTTTCCTTCCTCGAGACATAAGCTCCTTGATCTCCTGATCTCAAGTCTTGAGAAGAGGTTCAATGCAGATAGGAATTTGCTCAAAGCCACCAGTGTGGCAACGCTATCACTTTGGCCTAGTAAACTTAAAGATGAACCAGGTATTCATACTAGTCTGCATTAGCAATAAATATCATTTACCGGCTCAAATACACACGGTAATCATAATCCCTGCAAATAATAGAATGCCCAGCAAAAACAACTTAGAACTTAAAAGGTAAATAATCTTGTCTAGTGATGTTTACTTGCAAATTTGACGTCTCTACTGACAAAGTCGTCTTCTGTTGTTTGTTCACGCGATACAATGTTGTTTTCTTACCCCTGGTAAAAATTTCACGAAAGTATAACCCATAGATAAGACGACCCCCTTCTCCTAACTGCTTTTTTTGGTCCTCAAATTTGGACTTATAGACAGTAATATACGGTAGGTAACTAAATAAAAATTACCTCAGTACAAATTATAATGAAGTATACAGGGGTTCAAAAATCCCATTGCCCGAAGCCCAGGACAAGTCAGTTTTCATTTCGGGCAAACAAATAATGGTATCTTACTTGTCCGTGGGCTACTATAATTTCCACTTGTGGTTTCAAACTGCAAATAAACTTAAATTTAATTTCATATCTGCTCAAAATGTAGCTATTAAATTTCGCAATGATAATAAAGTAGAGTTATCTTTCTTTGCTATTTATCACTTTTCAATAAATAGTCCAGTAAACATTAACATCAAATACCATATTGATATATTCTTTCATAATTACATCATCATGATTATTTCATAAAATCAGGGTAAGTGGAAAACAAGTCAGGACAAATTACTTTTTAAAAAAAAGTTTGAACCCCTTGAAATTGATTGAATTATTTATTTAATATGTACTTTTTAATACCAGGATTTGGTGATGCAAGCATCAAGCTACTGGGTGATCGGTTTGAGACCATTCTGACCTCCAACGGGTACTTAACTGAGGACCTAGGTGCAGAGTGGTCCCGGTTCAAGACCTTGTTGTACAACAGGTGAATTTGTCTATCTTCCTCAATAAAAATAAACAGACAATATCTGTACAATTAACAATTAGTTAGACACGTTATGTCATATATTCTTTTCAAATAAAATATACTGAAATGTCTCACATACATGTATATCACTTATGATTAAAATGTTAATGAAGAAACATAGCAAATATCCTTTTGTGGTCACCTGCAATTATAACATGTGTAAATATCATTAGTATTAGAACATCTTCCAATTTTCTTTGCAGCTTGAATGACATCCCCAGTTTGACCTGGAAGAGAGTGAACCAAGGATTGAGGGACAAGTCTCCTACTGTCCTGGCCCTGATGGACCTGGTGCTTGCACTTCCTGCCAGCTCTGCAGATGCAGAGAGGGGTTTTTCCCTTATGAAAAGCACAAAGTCAGACTGGAGATCAAGATTGTCTAGTTCTTCTCTCTCCAGTCTGATGACAGTGCAGCTGGAGACTCCTGGCATTGATGATTTCAATCCAGAGCCCTCCGTGATGGCATGGCATTTGGGGGCCAAGAGGATGCCATCTTTCAGTGGATCTGTTAAAGCCAAGCACACAAATGCTGCAGCTCATGCTGTTGTTGATGATGTTGATTATAATGATAATGTGGTTGCTGGTGAGGGTGCTGGTGAAGAACCAGAGGTTGTTGGTCAGGCTGTTGGTCATGCTGAAGTAGTCATTGGAGGAGATGATGACGAAGGCTTTGATGATGTCTCAGATTATTGTTCTGATTATTCTGACACAGATGAACAGCAGGAGGACCTTCAGCTGATGGAAAAAAGGGCTTTTGCTCTTTTCAAGGAGTCACTTTTGTCAATGGGTTGATACGTCTGTGTGACAGAGTCTGTTGTGACAGATGCATGAATTAAACAAAAAACAGATTGTGTGTTTGTTTGTTATGATGTTGTTAATACTGCTTGACTAAGTCAAATTTCATTTTTCATATTAATGATTGAAATTTGAGGACTACCAAACTTGTGTGAGGACTAGTAGTTTGGTGAGAGTCACTAGTCCTCATGGCTAGTAGACTTTTCAAAGAGATTTCTAACCCTGTCTGCTGAGTCCTGCATCATATGTAATACGGGAACAAATTTATCATCTGGAAAATTATCATCACTGAAAATCATAACCACTGCCCAATTGTGCCAAGACGATGTTTATACCAGACTTGTGCAGTTGTTTGGAAATGATCTTTGTGGTCAGGATTTGTTTTATCATAGATTATGTTTCCAAAAATACACAAGCAAGACAAACATTCAGCATAGAAAAATTATTTCTGACAACAATGATCATGAAGAAACCATTTTCCACAACACATTTGAAAGTAAAAGGACCCGCTCATCAGATCCGATATTCTGGTCATCTTGCCTCATATGTGGATTCAGGAAACACAAGGGAGATAAGAAGCTACATGTCATCCAGACATTCGAGAGAGCAGAGGACATACTAAATGCTGCTCAAAGATTGCAGGACACCACAGTTCGGAGTAGAATCCTAGGGGAGGATTTGATTGCAAAAGAAGGTCTCTACCATGAGACATGTGTCAAGAGATTTCTGAGACTGTCTTTGAGTGAAAACCCAAGTCAAAGCCCTAATACCACACAGGCGGGACCTAAACCAACAGCTGCGTTCAAGATGCTGACTCAGGAAATTCAGGACAGACTTTTTGTACAGAAAAGAGCCTTGGGTTTAACTACGTTGCTTGACAGATACAATGAACTTGTAGAAGAAACTAGTGAGACATCATTAACCAGTGCCCACTTAAAGTTAAAACTTACAAGTTTCTATGGAGAAAGAATTGCAATCCAAACACTTCCTGCAAGAGGCAGTCCGAATATCATTTTCAGCAGTAGCATTTCACTCAGTGATGCCATTTATGCTGCGCAGAAATTGAAAGAAGAACTTACCTCATCTCAGAGTTCAACTAATGATGTCTTGTCGCATGAAAGTTACATCAAAGAAACACTGCGAGAAGCAGCTGCAATACTTCGAAATGACATGGCAGATATAAAAACACCCGATACTTACCCCTCTCCAGCTGAAGTAGGCCAGACCAGTTCTGAGGAATATGTTCCATCATCCTTGATCAGTTTTATGACCATGTTGTTGGACCCAGAGCGTTTTCAATCAAGTGAAGAGAATCATGAGACTAATGACATTCTCCATAGGAAGGCTGTTACATTATCAGAGTGTATCCTTCATGCTGCTAAAAATGTTGTGACTCCTTTTTATATTGGACTTGCTGTCCAGTTACATCATGCATATGGCTCAAAGAAGTTGATTGACACTCTTCATTCATATGGACTCTGTGCGAGTTACGCTGAGTTAAGACTTTTTCTGACAAGTGTAGCAGAAGATGAGATAAAGAAGATTGTTAATGGTGTGTATGTGCCAAGTGGATTAGTACTCTGAAGGTGGCTGTCTTATCCAAGAAGGGGATGATAATGTTGATTTAAACATTGAAACTGTAGACGGGAAAAATACCTTTCATTCAATGACCCGTGTTTTTTTCCAGATGACTAAATCAGACTCTGTGTCAAAACGTCCTTCAAGAGCCATCAAGAGAGGAGGCAATCGATCACTAACCAACAACAATACATTGACAGACATAATGAGAGTTCTTCCTTACAAGAAGCCAAGCAAAAGACCTGAACCGCCTAGACATGATCAGGCACTGGAAATAATTGAGTACTCAATGAAACCCTTGAGCAGAGGTAAAGATGTCACATGGGTTCTCTTAAGGATGTTGGGTCGTGGGGTGGTGGAAATCCCTCAGTTCATTTCGATAAACGGCCAAACAGTTCCATTTTGGTCTGGATACAACCAGCTGAACTCGCCAAAGAATCTTTCTTACACAGTTGCATCCTATGCACCTTTAATAGATGCTAAGCCATCAGACATATCAACTGTGTATACAGCAATGGTGAAAGGCCATGAAATGTCTAATGCTCTTGGGCAGAATTATTCTGTGCAGACTATGGATCTTCAGCTGTATGCAGTTGCTCAAAATGTAAAGTGGAACCTAAAAGACACCTTCAGTTCTCATGTTGTGAGACTTGGAGGTTTTCATGAAGTCCAGTGTTTCATAGAAGCAATTGGTAAACTCTGGGGAGATGGAGGTCTACTTGATCTACTTGTGGACTCTGGTGTTTATGCATCAGCTACAGCTGAACAGATGTTAGCAGGCAAGCAACATCACAGAGCAATCCGTGGACTTACACTCACTTATGAAGTCCTTTCTCAAGCTTTGCTTACGCAGTTTTTCAAGTGGTGTGACAACAACAGTCATGGTCAAGCACTCAAAGCAGTGTTGGAGAAGGTACCAAAACTGGAGAATGGATTTGGACAATGTGACATAAACTCCTTACAAGCTGTTGTAAGTGATGTTCTGACACCACTCCTGGATCAGTTTGAGACATTGGGACGCTCAAAATCTCCAACATTTGACTACTGGATGACGTATCTTGAAGCTGTCCAAATTCTATTGTGGAATATTCGTGCAGAACGGGAGAGTGATTGGGATTCTCATTTGGCAACTCAAGGTGCAATGTTGCCATTCATCTTTGCTGCAAATAGAACAAATTATGCCAGATACATACCTGTATATATCTTAGACATGATGAATTTGCCAAAAGAGATAAAAGATACTTTTCTTCAAGGCCAACACACATACAGGGAGAAATCAGGAAAGTTCAACAGTCTTTGGACAGACATGGGAGTGGAGAAAACAGTCATTCGTGACTCTAAAAGTGACGGTGGTGTCATTGGTCTCACCAGAAGAAATAGCGCTCTTCTTCGATGGACAATCTCTCGCCATCTCATTGGAGAATATTCCACTGTCATGCAAGGCCGATCAGGAATTTCTTGTGACACTTCAGCATCTCATTAGGAAAACCATCCATCATCACTTACAAGAGATGAACGCCATGCAGTTGCAATGTCTAATCACCTGTCAAGTGGAATGACTGATCCCTTTGACTTAGAGAAACACCCAGACTCTGTTATCAACATTTCAACTGGGGTGTTTGCTTCCTCTGTAGTTCAGCATTCACTGAGCAGCATCGTCAAGATTGGAACGAAGAGGATGGAGGCATTTGTAAAGGATACATTGTCTACATCTGGGCAAAAGTCTTTCTATAGTCCAATACCTCGGTCAGGATTGATCACCTTTACTGAAAAGAAGAAGAAAACAAAGCTACTTAGTGGAGATGGGACTGTTCGACTTGTGCATTTGAGTGCAGAAATGGTCTTTAGAAGAGCTTTATGTCTGACAGCTTGTCGTGATGATGTCACAATGGCCAAGGTTCTCACACATCCCATAGGATCAGTTCCTACATCACTCTTCAATGAAGATTGGTCAATGAGGAAGACATCCAAAGCCGATTTAACACACAAATTAGAAGAAATGGTTGAGAGTGCTGACACTTTACCAGACTTTGAGAAGGAAGACACAGTCTACATTCGTGATGCAATGGCAATATTGAGAAGTATGAAACCTGCCATCACCTCCACATTTGACAGTGTTGCTGACAGTTATATGCGAAATATGAAGCAGTGTTTCACCAGAGCTGATACTGTCATAGATGTGTTCGACCAGTATGACACTCCCAACTCCACTAAGTCTGCAGAACGTTCCCGAAGAGCAGACCTCAACAATGGCAAGAAGTATCAAGTGTCATCAGGCAGACAGATTCCACAGTGGAACAAGTTTCTAGGTGTATCTGAGAACAAGGCACAGTTCAACAACTTCTTGTGCACCAAAGTGCAGGCTACAATGTCACCAGAAATGAAACCACAAGAAAGACTGTATCTCTCAGGAGGATATGAAGATGGAATGGTGACCAAGTTGATCACTCCCACTGGGGATGCGTGCATTGATGAACTTCAATGTTCTCAAGAAGAAGCCGATACACGTATGCTCTTCCACGCCATGTATTGCAATGATGAGTTTGCAGAGAGGCATACCCAAGGACGTATCATCATCAAGTCCCCTGATACAGATGTTCTCATACTATGTATCTACTATTATCATCAAATGGAGCATGTCCGGGAAATTTGGTTCGAAACTGGAGTGTCTTCTGCAGTCACAGACAAGCACCGGTTCATTCCTGTCCATAACATCTGCCATCTTCTTGGATCATCAATGTCATTTGCTTTGCCAGGAATCCATGCCTACTGGCTGCGATACATCATCGGCATTTTTTCATGTTGGCAAGAAGACAGTCTACAAGGCTATGATGAAAGACAAAGATCTGTTTTCAAGTGCTCAAGTCCTGTCTTCGGGAAACCTTGATGCAGCAGTGGAGGTCTGCAGGCAACTAACATCAGTATTGTATGACCCCAGGAAGAAACTTAAACCATGCCACTCTTTGAATGACATGAGACTTCAACTATGTCGACTAAGTGATATTGAGCTTGCCAGACTTCCCCCATGCGAAGACAGCTTTCGACAGCACGTTAAGCGTGTGATGTGGCAAACTAGAATCTGGACAAATTCTCATTGTGGTAAGCCAGAGCTTGGTAACCCTGAAGATTTTGGCTGGACCAGGGTTAATGGATTGCTCACCTCTACATTGTTTGAACATCAAACTGCTTCAGAAGTTCTTGACTGCCTTGTTTGCACCTGCTGCAAGTCCCCATGCTCCTCAATGCAGTGCATTTGTAGACAGAACAATCTGCCTTGTATTGAACTGTGTTATTGCAAACACAGACAGGGTGGACGGAATTGCAATAACCCCATGAATGATGTTGATGAAGAAACCAGTGACAATGAAGAATGACCTTTTTAATAATCATAAATCTATTCGATGTATGACATGAAGATGTTAAATAGAACTTTGAATCTTACAGAAGCAATAACCTTGATCTGATGTGTAACTAAACCTGAAATTAGACGAGTCCAGTAAGAAATG